ATTTTTCCTCCCCAGGGGACCCTGGTTTACCTTTTCATCTTGCAGGACACTAGACCCAGAGTATGGATTAGATAGCTTTGCCTGTACTTTGGCGTTGAAAGGACTTCTTGGAGCCAGAAGTCTTGATGCCTCTGGAGTGTAAGCTGCCAGCAACAAAAACAGTTAAATCGGACGTGTATAAAGTACTCGGTATATACTAGGCCCTGGTCTGGGTGTGCCCTGTGCATTCACTCACTCAGTGGTCTAGGAGGTGGTCTCTGATGAAGCGCTTAAGGCAGATAGGTGAATAGTTAGGGATAGGCCTATCTTGTTCTTCCACTCTTTCTTCCCGGGCAGCCCCTTAGCTTGAAAGGAGACTCCAGGCAGAAGACCAGAGCCTTGTGGTAAAAATTAATTTAGGACCTTAATGGATCTACACATGAAATTAAACATTACATCCTAAGGACTCTAAACATCAAAGACAACAAGCCAGATGTGGTGGCACATGCCTGCAATCCCAGTGTCTCAGGAGGCTGAGGCAGGAGGATCACAAGTTCAAAGCCAGCCTCAGCAAAAGCGAGGCCAAGCAACTCAGTGAGACCCTGTCTCTAAATAAAATACAAAATAGGGTTGGGGTGTGGATCAGTGGTCGAGTGCCCCTGAGTTCAATCCCTGGTACTGCCCCCCCAGCCCCCCAAAAAGAGAAACAATAGGTGGCACCTGCATACACACCAGGTGATAGGATTTCACGAGGGCGTGTGGTACCTGTGTTAGTGGCAGGATGACTGAAGTTCTGACAGGTGTGTGGGGCTGGGAGGGATTCCTTGAGCTCCTTTCCATTTTCCATTCTCATTTTGGTAGTGATCTAACAAGAAATGGGAAAAAAATCCTCCTCTGGCTTCCTGGTTGATGGTGTTGGCTGGGGCTGCCCCTGGAGAAGGAACAAGAGGGCTGGGGTTTGGTCACTCAAGTATCACCGAGAAATGCCTTCAGAACTAGCAGTGGGCTGTAGTGGCAGGTTTGTAACAGGGGTGAGCAGGATTTAGCAGGTGGCACTGCCATGAGCCAGTGGACTTGGAGTTGAGTCCTCTTTGACATTTCCCGTGGTCTAGCTCTGGGTCATTTCCTGTCTGGGCCTTGGTGCTCTCTGTTGAATGGAGCCCCTGAACCTTCTGTTAAGGGTTGAATAAGCCAGTCCTTTACCGACTTACCCGTAGCCGGGGCTCAGTAGTGGGCATCAGCTCACTGCTCCTTTTGGGTGGCTGCAGTGCTTAAAGCTGGAGGATTCTTCTGGCCTGAGCATGTGTGGGGGTGCATTCTCTGCCTGTCACTGGGGTAAGGTAAGAAAGAGGACACTGATTTCTCTATCTTCCTGTCTTCACAGGGTCCCTGGGTTTGCAGACTGTAGAGCTGACTAGGAGGGCATGATCTTATGCAGAAACCAGTACCCAGGGAAGGGAAGTGATTGTCCATGTCACATGAATACCAAGGAGCTTGGCTTGGATGAGTACTCATGTCTTATGACTTCCCACTCAGTGCTCCTCCCAAGATTCCTCATAGCCAGGGACCTCTCTGGGCACTTCACCATTGATAAGTGTCCTCGAGGTCACCTGTGCACCCTGTGTCCTATGAGACTCCCTTCTTACAACCCCTCTTCAGGGCTAAGATGGCCACAGGTGTCCTAAGATCAGGATTGTCTCATTTGAGTGCTTCCTGCTTGCAGAAGAGATCACAGCTGGGGAAGTGAACCTCTGGATTGAGACCTGTATAATCTTAGGTTGCTTTTCTGTAGAATATCGGCTGCCTCCCAACCCCCATGAAGAGAGATTTTGCAAAGTAAGGCCCAGGAGGGCCTTAGAACAAGCAGGACAGCAAAGTACCCTAAGAAATATCTAGGATTATTGTGCATATCAAGAGGTATATGTGCTAAATTCTTTCTGTTCAAGTGTAGGTCAGGAGCCAACCAACATCACCTGGAAGCCTGTGAGAAATGCAGAATCTCAGGCCCCACTGTTCACCTTCTGAATCAAAACCTGCCTTTTTTTAAAAGTATTTTTATTTTATTTATTTATTAATTTTTTATGTGGTGCTGACGATTGAACCCAGTGCTAGGTGAGTGCTCTTCCACTAAGCCACAACCTCAGCCCTAGAACCTGCCTTTTAACAAGATGCCCTGGAGATGCATGTGCATGTTAGTTTGAGAAGCACTGTGTTAGAATATGTCAGTAGTGAGGTGATAGAGATTATTTTCCTTATATATTTTTTTCTGATTTGTTTTTATTGCATTTTTCACATAAATTACTTTCATAATGTGAAAAATAGCAAAGGCATTTCCAGGAGCAAAACTCTGTCAAGTTTCCCATTGGCATTCCCAAGGGCAAGTAGTTGTGGGGTCTAGTACTTTGAAAAAGAAAAGCAGAAGACCCAACTTCTGTATTCTGATGTTATAAAGGAGGGAAGTGCAAGGGACAGGGTGTATCTTATTTTATTTTTGTACTAGAGATTAAACCCAGGGGCACTTAACCACTGAGCCACATCCCCAGTCCTTTTTATTTTTTTATTTTGAGTCAGGGTCTTGCTAAGTTGCTAGTTTGGCTTTGAATTTGCGATCCTCTTGCCTCAGCCTCCTGAGCTGCTGGGATTACATGTGTGCACTACTGTGCCTGGTAGGAGCAGGATTTATTGATAGACACAGGTGTCAAGGGAGGTGTTGGAGGGTCTTGGGCAGGTAGGTCTGTACCCATCCTGAATGACGATGGCCATTCTCTTCTGTTGGGAATGTTTTCCTTGTTAAGACCCTCTTCTTACTGGGCAGTGGTGGCGCACACCTGTAATCCCCGCGGCTTGGGAGGACCACAAATTCAAAGCCAGCCTCAGCAACAGTAAGACATTAAGCAGCTCAGTGAGACTCTGTCTCTAAGTAAAATACAAAATAGGGCTGTGGATGTGGCTCCGTGGCCAAGTGCACCTGAGTTCAATCCCCAGTACCCCCCCCCCCAAAAAAAAAAAAAAAAAAGAACATGGTAGCATCTGATGTATTGGTTGTTTTACTGTGTGTCCTGGAATATCAACTTCCTGTTTTTCTCTCCAGGCTTGGAATAAGGCAAGAGCCTTGGTGTGGTGGTCCTCACACAGGCTGTAAAGGGGCAGTCTTGTGTTAGGATCACATCAATTAGTGTTCAAGTTGGAGCAAATCTAAACCTTTATCCTTGTCCACGCACCCCCTGTGACTGGCCCCTGCCTGACCTCCTGTTCCTTTCTTTTTTGCTCAAGTCACGGCAGACTTCCTTCTAGTCCTGGAAGACTAGGGCCCCCAGCTGTTTGCTGTGCCTGGATTTTTTGCCCTTCTGTTTTTTTTTTTCCAAGGCTGCTTCTCCTCTTTGTAGAGGGCTCAGCTCAAATGCCATCTGTGTAAAGAGGCCCCTATGGCTGCACTGGCTAAGTGGTCCTCTTCCTTCCTATCTCACCCCTCTGTTTGGTTTTTCTTTATAGCCTGGGTTTCTAACATCACTTGTTGGTAGATTTTAGCTCCATGGGAAAGTGGCACACTCCTGTGTCCTTGCTGCTTAGAGCATTGCTTGCCACACATTTAAAAGTTAAATGCATCCTGAGTGGATCCACTGATCAGTGCACGTCATCGTTTGATGCCTCTGAGCTTGTTTCCCTGTGCATGTGTGGTGTCACGACTGCCAGGGGGATTTCAAAGGTTAAAGGAGGCGATGCATGCAGAGTGCTCAGCTTGTGCCTGTCATGCGGGAGTGTCCAACACATGGTGGCAGTTGTTGTCAACTGATTGGCCTTTACTTGGTGTGCAGGAATCAGGGACCATCTCTGAGGCAGTGCTCCTCTCTGGTGCACTCCACATAGAGTTGCCCAAGACAGAAGCAGCTTGATAGCAATTCAACACTTGTGGTGTGGAGCATCTTTGAAAGACTGCTCTGGGCCTGCATCATAACCTGCAGCCTTGTCTCTGTTGATTGGAGTCATTGTGCTTCTTATGGAACTTTGGTTTTAGAATATCAGTGACCCACCTAGTACTTTGGTGCCTCAGACCTTCTTAAACAGAAGTTTGGTGTATGTCATATGTTTCATTTGGGAATGTTTTTGGCTGCAAGTAACAGCCCAATGTGTAGTGGCTCGAACAAATGAGGGTTTTTATTTGCTGAGAGTTACATCATTTCTGGTATTGGTTTAGCAATAATATCCATCCAGTTTAGTGCCTTTGTAATTCTTTTGACCTTTCCCTGAGGCACTTGGCTTCATGATGGCAAGATATTGCTGTGGCTCCACCCCACATGTTTACAACTAAGGCAAGGCATGTGAGTGGAAGAAGGCATGATGCCCTGCATATCTGTTCTCTGTATAAAAAGGTGTAACTTTCCCGGTACTCCTCTGATTACTTCTCATTGGCCAGACTTCTTAAGGTCAGCCTTGCTGCTGAGAAGAGGAATTATTAGGGTTTTAGTGTGGGTTGCTGCAGGTGGTGTGGGGAAAGGATGCTGGAGGTAATGGTGAGATCAGCCAGCAAGCAGGGTCTCCCAACCTAGGAATCTCATCTTTGATGTTAGAATGTGGGTTGTCAACTGCAGTCAGTTTTTCTCCCCAGAAGATAATGGCAATATTTGGAGACATTTTTATTGTCACAGCCCAGGGCTATGTGTGTGCTGATGGTATCTAGTGGGTAGAGGCCAGCGATGCTGATAAACATTCTACAGTGTCTGTAGTTCAAGGTTGGAAACCCTTAGCTAGACCATTGTGGACATGTTCCTCAAATTTGGGGAACATGTATCTCCAGCCCTTTTGATTTTAATTAGGCTAACTGTTTTCTGTGATGCAGAAACAGGAAAATGGCCCAACTTCATTGTAATGATGTAGATTCCTGGTACCTTGTTTTGCTATTGATTTTGTTAAATATCAGCAAAGGACTGATCCTAGTTGGGGACAGCCACACACTGTAATGTCAGAGGGTTTATTAGAAGGCTAATATCAAACAGAACTAATTAAACCTCATTGCATTTTAGGGTCACAGAACAATGACAAAAGACAGTTTCTGCTGGAGAGACTGCTGGATGCAGTAAAACAGGTAAGAAGAACGCACACGCTTGGCTTTTGGGCTGAGCAAGGGTGTCAGGTAATGAACGTAGAAGTCACTTCTTGCCTTTTGTATAAAAGACTACTTTGTGTGTGGGAATGCTGAAGAGTTTCCCTTGGGAAATGGTAGAACAGGGAAGGTGGTCCAATTATGGATGGAGGAGGTCTTGTGTCTTGAGTTTCCAAACCCTCAGGAGGACTTCGTTTTTCAGTGATGTCCCTTTGAGAAGGGCATTGGTGAAAGGACATGGCCTTGGGCTCAGATGTGGCTGGGGTCAAATGCCAGCTTCCTCTCTTTGTAGCTGTTTGTGCAGGGGCAGCTCATGTGCCCTCTCTCAGCATCCTTCTTCTCCCTGGGATCTGGTTCACTTTTCTCCACAGGGTGGCTGAGCAGCGCGTTGCCATGTCTTGCTAAGTTGCCCAGGTTGTCCTCACACTTAAGATACCTCTGCCTCAGCCTCCTGAGGATGTGGGATTTCAGGCATGCACCACTACATCTGTCAAATTATAAGTATTTTTGATCAGAAGTTTAGGAATCTTTCAAGTCTGTTATCTACAGCAGAGATTCTGCACCTTTAAAAGAGAGTAGTGGATAGTGGTGATGGTCATGTACAACATTGTGAATTGAATTTTATACTTAATATGGTAAGTTTGATGTCATCTCTATTTTACTACAATAATAAAAAATAAAAAAAAGTTTATTAACTTTTTTTTTTTTATTATTGTAGTAATTTAACTTTTTTTTATTTTTTATTATTGTAGTAAAATAGAGATGACATCAAACCATTTTGTACTCGCCCTGGAAAGACTGTCATTCAGTACAACCCAATGACTTGTTCAAAGCTTGATCCACGCGGTCATCATTTTACAGCCAGTCATAACAACTGGGGCTCTGTCAAAGAGGAGCCGTCCCTCAGGTCTTTGGGAGTCTTACTCGCCGCCTGTTGAGAGCTCCTGGTGTGGGTGGTGGGCAGCAGGCAGCCGGGGCAGCATCCCTGAGGTCTGCAGAGAGCCATGTGCTCTGTTTCCTGTCAGTGTGTTTTCCCACAAGGTTGGCTTCCCCAAGTGGGTGCTGAGGCTTCCTTTAAGTGGCAGAGATGTTTACCTTCTTAACTCTGTGCTGTCACCAGGGCATGGGGACCTCCAGATGCGGCATTGGGAATTTATGGCCCCGTGTCCTGCTCCTGACCTTGAAGTTCTGTGTGGGCTGTTTTGTGATGTTTGGAGCATCCTGTGCCCACAGCTGATCTCAGCAGTTTCTTTTTCCTTGCAGTGCCAGATCCGCTTTGGAGGGAGAAAGGAGATCGCCTCGGATTCTGACAGCAGGTAAATATGTCCCTTCTGAAACCACTTACTGCCAAGAAAAGGTGGCAAGAGATGGCCAGCTTTTGCAGTTGTCTAAAACATTTCACTTTCCCATAATTCTCCTTCTAGGGATTTTTTACTTTCTTCTTCTATTTTTTTTTTTTTTTTTTGAGCTACTAGAGATGAACCCAGGACCTGGCACCGTATACATGCTAGGCAAGTGTTCAACTGCTGACCTATGTATCTCCAGCCCTTTTGATTTTAATTTTTTTCCTTTTAAATTGATACCAGGGATTGAACCCAGGACGCTTAACCACTGAGCCACATCCCAGCCCTTTTTATTTTTTATTTTGAGACAAGGTCTTACTAAGTGGCTTAGGGCCTCACTAAGTTGCTGAGACTAGCATTGAATTTATAATCCTCCTGCCTCAGCCTTCTGAGTCACTGGGATTACATGCATGCGCCACCATTCTTGGCTTTGATTTTAATTTTGAGTCAGGATCTCACTAATTTGCTGAGGCTGGCCTAAAATTTGCAATCCTTCTACTTAGCCTTCCAAGTAGCTGGGATTACAGGCATGTGCCACCATGCCTTGCTCTAGGAATCTGTTTTGAGGAACTACTTGAAATATCTTTCTGTGTAAAGTTATTTTCAGGATGACTTGTAATTATGAAAATTCAGGAACCTAAATACATAATAACTGGGAAATGGTGAATCAAGAGTGGTACAGTAGTAGGCTGGTATGTTATGTAGCCATTAAAAATGATGTTCATGTAGATTTTTTAAAGCAGAACAATGCATATGTTCCAACTTAAAAATTATATATTTAGTAAATACACATGTGTCATAACAATAAAAAGAGCAAGATACCTAATTATATGGGTGCGTAGTGGCCCTAGTTATGTTAAACAACGGCTCTGGGAAAAAAACACAGCAAAATATGAATAGAGCTATTGTTGGGGATATGAATATTGAAAATCTTTGTTTTCTGGTATTTTTAATGTTTTTAATTTTGGTCATGTTCTCTTTTTATGGAAAATGTGTCCCAAAACTTGCTGTTGACATTACAACCCAGGAAAGGCTGACATAATTGCATAGGCTTATAGCGTTGGCCAGACATAATACGTTTTGGCAGAGGTAAGAGACACACAGGCGTCTAGTCCCTGTTGGAAGTGTTTTGTGATGTCAATCAGAACTCATCCATGCTCTGCAGCCCTGGGGGAGGCTGAGGAACATTCCAGCTCGGCATTCATCTCATTCAGGGCCTGCAAACTGCCCCTATCCCCCACCCTCTTACCCCAGCCCACCAGCAGAGTCAGTCGTTCTGTCCTCACGTCCCTTTGTTCTTCTGGGGAGCTTAATAGCCGTGAACCCAGCATGGAGGGCCACATTACAGAGCAATGGGGATTCTTTGAAACTGGCACAGATTGAAAATGACACTCCCCCTCCTTCCCTTCTTTGTTTTTTCTCCACAACACTTACTGTCCAAGAAACTACAGTATGCTTTGAAATTTTGCCTCTTAACTCCTGTCCCTGTAAGACTAGATCTTTACAGAGATGCTTAGCTCTTGTTTACTAATATATGTCCAGTGCTCAGAAGCATCTAGAAGTTGCTCAGGAAAGATCTGGTATCCTGATGAGTATATTACATTGTCCCATAGTCAGGTGTTTAAATGTCTATCAAGGCTTGTGAGCTTCAAGGGCAAAAGGGCTGCTTCCCCAATTTTTTTTTTTTTTTTTAATTATCAGCATTTTGTGCAGACATTTTGGGTCTACCCTATGTTAGGAGGGTCAGTATATGTTAAGCACCAGGTTATTAGACTGATGTATTGATTCGGTTCTTCCTGAAGGCCCACTGTGGGTACTGGTATTGGTAGAACAGGGTTTCTTATTTTGGGATCCAAGGTCTACCTGCATCAGAATTTACCTAGGAGGCAGATTTCACATCCCACCCTAGATCTCCTGAATCAGGGTGTGTGTGTGTGTGTGTGTGTGTGTGTGTGTGTGTATGTGTGTGTGTTTGGGGAGGACTACTATAACTTCTGTTATGTAAAATGTTATTTTTTATAGTAGCTTGGGAATTTGCATTTTCAATGAGCTCCCCAGGTGATCCTAGTGGACACCAAAGCTTTCAGTCCAGTCATTGTTCCATGCCTTGGAAAACAGAGGTTATTGAGGGCTCACAATTCTCTGGCCATGTTGGTCTGTGTGTGTGAGCATAAGTATGGATGTGGTTGGTGTGAGTGTGGCTGTATCCATGACTTTTTCATTATTTTTCTTCATAATTGTGTCATCCACATCCTGAGAGAGGCAGTCATGCTCTGAATGTTAGATTAATATGTTCCTATATAATAATAATAGAATTCACTACTATGACTTTTATTATGTAAAATGTTATTTTTTATAGAATTCTATTTTTTAGAATTTAAAAAGTTAATTTCTTTCACTGTCACTCTTGTTTATCTCTAAAAGTAGCATACTGCTTAATATTAATAACTTACTGTTTTTTATTGCTTTTCCTTCTCTAATTTTGATGCTTAGTCTTTAGGACGACCTCAAGAGGAACAGCGGTATTATGCTTTATTAATTGATGAGAAAACAGACTTAGGCAAAATGGTAGCACCTAGGTTAGACATCTTGGAGGTGTTAGAGTTAGGAGTTGGATCCTGGTCTCTTGGAATCTGTAGTATACAGTTGGCCCTCTGTATCTGTGGGTTTCATTGTTGTGATTTCAACCAACTGTGCATTAAAAATATATTAAAAGTGCCAGTAGTATACCTTAGTGGCAAAGTGCTTGCTTAGCATGTGCAAGGCTTTGGCTCCTATTCCTAGAACTAAGGAAATAAAGAGATAAGAAGGAAGGAAAAGAAGGGAGGTGGGGTGGGGAGGAAGGCAGGAAGAAATGAAGGAAAGAAGGGAGGGAGGGAGGAAGGAAGGAAGGAAAGAAGGAAGGAAGGAAGGAAGGAAAGAAGGAAGGAAGGAAGGAAGGAGAAATCGTATATGTCTGATATTTGGCAGTATAGTATTACCACTGTTTTCCTAGCATTTCCCTTTTAATAGGTAGTATAAGTTAATCTAGAGATAATTTAAAGTACATAGGTTTTCTGAAAATGTACATAGAGGATGTACATAGGTTCTGTGAAAATCCTATGCTGGGAGGGACTTGAACATCCTTGGGTTTTGGTAGCTCCGGGGGTTCTAGACTCAGTCTCCTCTGGTCACTGAGGGACCACTGTACTGTTCTTTCTGTTCTTTCACATTTAGTGATTCTGTTGGTTTTGAGGCTGGGTTTCCAAAATAGATTTCCCCCCTTGCAGAGTTTCTTCCCAATTATTAAGTCCTGGTCTTATCTCTGAAGTGTGTCTGGCCAAAGGGCGGCACTGACATCACGGGAGAGGCTGCGTCACTGTCCCAGTCTGAAAGGCAATTTCACCTCCAGAGAGAAAGTGGTCATTTTGAAGTAGCTGGGCTGTGGGGTGAAAAGGTGGACATGTCCACCCCACACAAGTGCAGCTCCAGAATGCAGCTCCAATCTGGGGTGATTCTCTGTGGCCCTCTGCTGTCCCCCTGACCCAGTTACCAGCATCTGTCACGGGATGGCTCTGGCTTTCCAACTGGCTCCCCATTTGTTCCTGTTCTTGTCCCGCCTCCCCTGAACTGGGAGCATTCTGGAGAGCACATATTCTCTCATCTCACTTCCTGATGCATCCTCACCTCCCCACCCTCATTCACACACTCCTCTCTTTGCTCTTAGAAGAAAGACCCCTCCACACCTTTAAGGTGGCCTTGAAATCTCATGTGCTTTTCCTGCTGTCTGTTCTAGACACTGTTAAAGCTTCTTATTGCTCTGTCAGGGACCTCTCCTCCACTCTACCCCTACCTAGTACTTCCCCTCTGCACCTATTTCCCTGTTCTGTGCCATGGATCGGCACACGTTCCCGGTGAAGAACTGGATTGGCTGTTGCGCCATGCTTTGCTGGCCCGTGCTCTATGCTGTCATCTTAAATAAGACTGTTTCAGATCATACATTCGGATGATGAACTGATGGCCCCTGTGTGCCCAGCTGGATGACAAGCCGGACTGGATGACAAGCTGGATGACAAGTCTGTTTTGCCCACTCTTAGTCCACAGCAACTGTATATAGTCAGTGCTCAGCAAATATTTATTGGATCGTCATTTGTTCAATAGTTAGTTTCTGGATGTTTGTTTGGTGTCAGGCTCTGTGCTGGACAGTGGGGCTTCCCACACATATCAGACACATCTCTCCCCCTCTGGTGGCTTTCCAATCACTGGGAAGACAGTCTAATAAGGCAGTGACTACAGATGGGACGCTAAGGGCCATGTCCAGTGGGCTCTTGATGCTCCGCAGGCTGCCTTGAGGGTATGTGGGTGCACACACCCTGGTTGGGAATCACTTCCCTTCTCCCTGTGGTTGGACTGCACACCCTCCTGGCCTGAAGACGAGGTACGCCTTGCTAATTGTGACAATGGAGAGACTGGGCAACTGGGCTGGATATGGGGGGATGTTGGTTTCTTCCCGTATCAGGATGCTGTGGGAGTGCAGTCTGCTTGGGCCCAACTGTCACCCAGCTTACGATACTTGCCCGTCATTCACTGCCTGTCGACGGAGAGGTAGACTGCAGATAGAATGGAGGGGCAGTTGTAAGTTTATGAGCTTTGTAGAAGTTTGCGTCTGCTCTCAGAGGAACAACTGAAGTTGGAAGATTTCTTTCTATGTAACTTGGGGCCCTTTTCTTGGTCCTATTTGGAAAACGGGGCATCTTATATGCATCTCTTCCTGCATCAGCCTTCTCCAGGAATCTAAAAATCAGCATCTTCTTGGAAACAATAGAGAGATTTTGTGAGAGATTTGTCTTAATAGGCCAAGTACTATCTTTGAATACCATTTGAAATTGACTGTCTTAAGAAGTTCTGGGGGCTGGGATTGTGGCTGAGTGGTAGAGCGCTCGCCTTGCACGTGCAAGGCCTGGGTTCGATCCTCAGCACCACATAAAAATAAA